GGCAGCTAAGAAAGGATAATTAAAAGGAAATCCACTGCCGTTTCCAGGAACCTAAGTCAAAACTCGTAGAGCACCCACCTCAATAGGTTTCACTGAACACCAAGTGGTTGTAAAGAGGCAAGTGCTTTACAAACCCAGGTTTGAATTGCCCCAATGTGACGGCTGTCCTAAAACCCTGGAGGGTGGTAGAGACGCATGCGTTAGAGCTGGAAGATCCTGAGCTGCTCCGACCCATGCGTGCCTTTGCACTGTCTGAGAGTGAAGAGTGGAGCTCTCCTTGCTATTGAAGAGATTGCAGAAGTTGCTTTTTGACAGATGTAAGGACATCAGTGGAAACTTGAGAACCAAGTCTAAAGTATGAAAACAAGCAGGTGTTGTTCAGTATGAACACAGGGTTTTCTGGGGAATCATGATCAAAGCCATTCCAAAGCTTGGCTGTGGCCCCTGAGACTGGCTCTAGTTTTATGGGCTACAAAGGCTGTGGGGACTCTATTTCTCACAGTCCTTGGCTTAAGGAGATACTAGGTGCTTTCTTGACCGCTTATTTTTATTATTATTTTAAATAATTTTATTGGGGGCTCATACAACTCTTATCACAATCCATACATCCATCCATTGTTCAATCACATTTGTACATTGGTTGCCATCATCATTCTCAAAACATTTGCTTTCTACTTGAGCCCTGAGTATCAGCTCCTCATTTTTCCCCTCCCTCATGAAGCCTTGATAATTTGTAATTATTATTTTGTTCTGTCTTACACTGTCTGACATCTTCCTTCACCCACTTTTCTGTTGTCTGTCCCCCAGGGAGGGGGTTATATGTAGATCCTTGTAATCAGTTCCCCCTTTCGACTCCACCTTCCCTCCACCCTCACGGTATCGCCACTCTCACCACTGGTCCTGAGGGCTTCATCTGTCCTGGATTCCCTGTGTTTCCAGTTCCTATCTGTACCAGTGTACATCCTGTGGTCTAGCCAGATTTGTAAGGTAGAATTGGGATCATGATAGTGGGTGCAGAGGAAGCATTTAAGAACTAGAGGAAAGTTGTATGTTTCATCATGGCTACACTGCACCCTGACTGGCTCGTCTCCTCCCCGCGACCCTTCTGTAAGGGGGTGTCCAGTTGCCTACAGATGGGCTTTGGGTCTCCACTCTGCACTCCCCCTCATTCACAATGATAGGATTTTTTGTTCTTTGATGCCTAGTAACTGATCTCATTGACACCTCGTGATCACACAGGGTGGTGTGCTTCTTCCACATGGGCTTTGTTGCTTCTCAGCTAAATGGCTGCTTGTTTACCTTCAAGCCTTTCAGACCCCAGACGCTATATCTGAGCAGCATCAGCTTTCTTCACCACATTTGCTTATGCACCCGCTTTGCCTGACCACTTATTTTTGTCTTCCTTTGATTTCCCCCTAATGCTGCCTGCATCCCTTGTCAACACAAGGGATTTGGAAATGACTATTTCAAACTCTTCTTGGAAGCCACTGGGGCAATTTTTTTTTTATGTCCCTGCCTTTCTATCTTCATGAAAATATCTGCCTTGCCTTCTTTTGGGCCATAAAGAGTAAAAAATATGCCCTTGTTCCAACCACACTTTCTCACCAGGTCTTCCCACCAGCCAAGAATGGGTGGGGGGGGCACAAAGCTGGCCTATGTGGGATAAGACCCCCATTCGGACTCAGTCTCATTGGTATGATATAACCATGTCTGATTGGTAGAAAAGGGAGCTCTGGTGTTGTAGTGGGTTGCACTGAGCAGCTAACCACAAGGTTAGCAGTTTGAAGCCACCAGTCACTCTGTGGGACAAAAGTGAGGCTTTCTGCTCCCAGAATGATTGACAGCCTCAGAAACCCAAAGGGACAGTTCTACTCTGACCTACAGGGTTGCTAATCAACTTGGTGACAGTGGCTTTGGTTTGGTTTGGTTTTATGTAGAGAGGGCCTCTTGTTTATCCCTCTCCTGATAACACACTGCTTTCCATTGTGAAATAAAATATGGACACGAGTGTAGGCTGGGAGTGATTAGTGAAAAGAGCACTCCGGCCAGGAGTAGGGCTATCTGGGTTCCTGCTTCTGAACGTCTACTTCCAGCTGGGCGATCTTGCACTAGTGACTGCTCTTAGTATTCTGTATATCGTTGCTCTTATCGGTTGTTATGGATTCATCTGGGACCCCTGAGAACCTTATTGTGATAGAACAAACACCGCCTAGTTCTTGCCCATCTTCAAGATCACTGACCGTCAGGTTGAGTCCATTATTGGTCAATAAAATGGTCATTGACTAATTTTCAGAAGTAGGTCCCTAGGCCTTTTTCCCTCAGTCTATCTTAGTCTGAAAGTTCTACTGAAACCTGTCTCCCAGGAGTGACTGCTGGCACTGAAAAAAACGGTGACATCACTTTCAGCATCATAGCAACAGGCAAGCCATCACAGTACAACAAACTGGCAGACAAGTGGTGATTTCTTAACTCTAGAGTGGGAACACGCTGATGTTGTAGGGGTAGTAAGGATCAAGAGAAATGATGAACTTGAAGGTGCTTTTGAATTCTATATGCATGTGGGAATATTATCTTCCTTGAGACAGCTAAGTTCCAAGAAAAATCCGACTTGATTGAACCTAGGCCTCGTTGCTGCTGTTGAAAAGACAGAAGAGTGGACCTAAGGTAGGGACAACTCATCTGCCCTTTGTTGTGTGGGGAGGACGACTTTGTTAGAGCAAACCCTCCAGGGAGCCCAGGGACTCGGGCTCTGAGCGCTATCAGGACTACCTACGTGTGATGAAGCCAAGCAGAGGAGAAAGACAGCCCCGAGGTCCTGAAGACTTTTCGCCCAGCTCCATACCCTCCCTGCACACAGAGCCTATTTTCCATGGGTCCTTGGTGGTAGCATCACAGAGCCCTCAGAAAAGAAACTCCCTTGTGGATGAGGCGAGCATGCTGTAGCTTGTTCTGTGGGACCATGAGCCGGGAGCATAACACACTGCATTCCAGAACCCAGTGGAAGAAGCAATTGTCTCGCAGCTTAATGATAGATTCTTCACTTTCTCTTAATTGCTTGAGTCAGCACTGTTACTCTGGGGGAGTCACAGCACAGGTAAAGCTATTGTTGTTAAACAAGGTGTGACTATCAGGTAATGAGGCTTTATTAATTTATTTATTTTTAACGCAAACAAACCCCGAGGTATAACTGTCAAAGGTGTGACATTGGCAAGCTATGCTCCTGTCGACTTTATTTTCTAACCAAATATTGGGACAGGAGATACGACAAGTACTTTGATGGGGGGATAATGCTAACTATGAAAGCTCTCCTGGACCCCCAGAGACACGTGAGCCTCACTGCTCTGGGGGGCCCCACGCAGCATACGGAACAACGGTCATCAATGACCCCCAGAGAGAGAGCTTTGGCTGGCATCACACATAGACACTTCTGGAGAAAAGACCCATATCTTTCTTTTAATCATTTTATTGGGGGCTCATACAACTCTTATCACAATCCATCCATCCATTGTGTCAAGCACATTTGTACATTCGTTACCCTCATCATTCTCAAAACATTTGTTCTCAACGTAAGCCCCTGGCATCAGCTCCTCAGTTTCCTCCCTCCCTCCCCCTCCACCCCCCATGAACCCTTGATACTTTATAAATTATTATTTTGTCATATCTTACACTGTCCGACATCTCCCTTCCCCCACTTTTCTGTTGTCCGTCCCCCAGGCAGGAGGTTAGATGTAGATCCTTATAATCGGTTCCCCCTACCCATATCTTTTATTCACTTTCCTTTCTCCCATAAATGCCCCCCATGTAATGGAGTGAATTATTTAACGTGGCTCTTCTATCCAGAGCCTTTGTTACTCCCACCAAATCACTTTCGTTTTCCTGCTGGGCCTGCGTAAGCAGGGGAAGTTACTGGTCAGGGTATATTATTCGGCTGTAAGTGATGGAGTATAAAATGAGGCAGCTCATTCTATAACTGTATCCTGAGCATTTCTCACCTGCACTGCAATCTGTCACCTCCATGATCAGTCCCTACTTGTGAGTGCTGTGTGTGTCCTCAGTGATCAGTGCATTGAGCTCTAGAACGCTGCCATGGAGGGGAGGGAGGGGAGGCACAGTGCCATAGGAGGAAGGTTTGGCATCACAATAAGGTTAAGAAGGGTGGAGACGTGTGATCCCCACTTCATGGTCCTCAGCCATGGCTGTTGGAAAAGGACAGATCTTCTCCTGGACAGTTAGTTGGTCCCTGACGGTAGGGAGGTCATAGGTAGACTGGTGCACAAAGCTGGGTCAGGCCCTGCTGTCTGTCAGGCTACTTAAGGGGCAGAATCTCAACGGGGAGTAAATAGAAATGATTGCATCCAGGGACCTCCCATGTTAACCTATCAGTCTGGTGATCTCTGATGTGGTTCTGAGGATGGTCAAAACGCTCAGTGCAGCTGCATGTCCACCTATCGATACCACAGGTCTGACTTCTGAATAGAGCCCTAGATGAATGCGGCAGGGAGGAGTAGAAAGAGAAGATTGTCTTCAAATCACACAATAACGTCTGAGCACCTGAGCCTGAAATCCAAAGTCATATGGCCCCAATACACCTTTCTAGTCTCATGCCCCAGCTCACCCTCAAATAAGTCTACCCTCCAACCACCATCAAGCATTCCCTTTGATGTCCTTGATCTCTTTCCTTTCCTTGGCCCATCCAATCCCCCTGGTCTCTATCTGTTACCCCCAGCCCCACCCCTTCTGAAATTAGTGTCAAAGACACCACACTTTCAGAAAAGTCTTTTCTGTCTTCTCCAACCTAGTGAGTTCTACCTCTACCTCCTCTGAATTCTTATAGCCCTGCTCATGCTGACCAGCTGGAAAGCGAGTGTATGGCTCACTCCGTTGAGGATTTCAGCATCTAGTGCCTGCCTAGAACACAGCAGGTACTCAATGACATGTTTAATGAGTTGTCTGTAGTGTAATAGGGGCTCACTTGAGGACAATTTAATGAGTTCCTTGCTATGTTAAAGGAGCCCTTGTGCGGCTATCAGGTAAGCATTTGACTGTAGCTGCAAGGTCTGCAGGTCAACGCCACTAGCTGCCCCTCAGGAGCAAGGCAAGGCTTTGCAACATAAGGGTCCTGCAAAGGGTCATGGCGAGTCAGAATCAGCTCGGCGGCAGTGGGTTTGGTCACGTCTGTTATCCATCACGGAGAAGAGAAAAACCAATCATAGATGGTCCTTTAAGAAGTGCCTCGGGTTTGGTTGCCTTGCTTTGTAGATGAGAACATTGAAGTCCAGGGAAGGGAAATGACTGCCCCCTGGCCCTCCAGCAGCCATGTTTATTTAGTGTTTGCTATGTGCGAGACCATGTGTCTTGTATCTCATCTTGTTTTCATCCTTATAACTTAAGAAGCATGTATAACCCCACTTTACAGAAGAGAAAACAAATTGAGAGAGACTGTAACACGGCTAAGGGTACGTTGCTAGGAGTTAGCCGGACCACGTTTGGAGCTCGCTGCTCTTGCCCTCTCTGCGGCAACTCCGGAGGAGGCAAACTGAGGAGGCAGCTCCCAGTGGTCCACAGGTCTGCGCATTGCCCACCGGCCTCATCTGTGGTCAGTGATCCCCTGGCTGCACTGATTCATAGTGACTAAAGGCCCTTGAATGAAGGCCCTTTGGTGCCATGCAGCCCTATGGACACGGATCTCCGGTTCTGACCGCTAGGTCAGTACTTTTTCCTTCTGGGCAGTTGGGTTAGTGGGGAAATCTGATAAAATCCCAGAGGGCAACTTGATCTTTCTCTGAAGGATTTACAAGTTGTTTGGGCTGCCTAATCTGCTCAGATGCCTTCCGTCCAGGGAATATTCAGTATCCTTGTAGTGCAGGCTGTGAATTAGTCCGTGAGGACTGTTCACAAGACCCTCCTCTGCCAGGTCTCAGGCAAGGCCTTGTGCAGCCCCCTTTCACCTCACTGGAACCTTCCTTCCCTCCAACCCAAGCTCTCTGAGGGGCCCGCTGGGAGGAGTTTAGAATAATGAGGGAAAGGGGGAGGTCCTGCGGCCTGCAGAAGCCAGCTGGAGCTGTGGATACAATGGCTTAGTGGAGGATGTGCATCCCACGTTTGGGAGCAGCCTGGCTCTTGAGCATGGACGGAGGCTGGCTCCTGAAAAATGAGTGCCAAAATTGGATAAAAAGTTGGATCTGGAGGGATGTCATGGGCCATCTAGGATTTAAAAATGCGTCAAGTTCAGCATAGAGACTGAGTTAGTTGTCAAGGTCACAGCTGCTGGTGACAGTAGAGGCCACAATGCAAGGGTCTAAACTCAATGCCCCCCTTGAACTCCCACTACGACGTTCACAGCCACACTCACATGACAGGAAACTCACACATGGGCGGGCGTGCGGGCGGGGACCCAGGGCCCCTTAAGTATTTGCTATCCCGCCCCACCCCCACCCCCCACAGGACAGTTCCCCTGTGCTGTCATGTTGTCCTCCCAGGTTTCCCACGCACACTAGCTGAGTCTCAGAGAGAGCTTCATAGCCTTCCTCCCAGGCTGCCATTCTCAGTTCCAATGGCCTTTCCAGACGTGAGCGCCCCGGGGGACACCTGGCCGGCTAGGAGCTGCCGGGAGGCACGGCCCCTGTTGGGGGCACCCCCAAGAGCCTTACTCTGAGCGCCCGCAGGCTGGCTAGCTCCCTTGGCTTCTCATGGTGGCTCAGGGCTGGCCCCCCAAGGGCTGGGGACCCCAAGGGCTGCCCGCCAGCCCCGAGCAGAGAGGGCACAGGGGGGCAGAGGTGAGCGCCTTGCCCCAGCCCGCCCGGGAGCCTTCTCCTGGAGGCGCAGGTTTAGAAAGAGGGCGGCCTCCTCCGGCCACCGCCTAGGCGGCTCA